TCCCGGCAACAGGTTTAATGCAATGCTCCATGTTCTCCAGGATCAGAAAATTCTCCGCCGCGAAGCACCACTCCGCGTAATTTTCCCGCCCCTTTAGCTTTGGTACATTTACCAAATAGTTTGCCGACATGATTTATGTGCTTATCACTCACGGCCTACGCTAAAAAACTGAGCTAAACTGAAAATTACGACTGTCCCTAGCTAAATATCGGCTTTGCTGGGCCCATAACCTATTATTAATGATTAATTAAAACAACTTTTTGATAGCGAGCACGTTTCTATATTCCGTTTATAGCAAAGAGAAAGACACACATAGACAATACATAGAGGGATAGCATAGACTAAAATGGGATTAAATTCTATTACAAAAACTATTTCGATATATATAAATAACATTACCGAAGGTCCAATTACCCTACCTTCTCCAATCACCCCATTCCCTGAATTCCCAACGATCCTCAAACTCCTAATCCCCAAAAAGCCGGTAACGCACTTATAACGCCTCTGGTGTTCCAGGTGTCCATGGGCGACGACAATTGCTTATCATCAGGTGATCCGTCTGCTCGTTTACCGGCTTATGCCATAAAAAAACACTGAAATAGATTCAAGCTTAAATACAGAATAATAGTTATTATAACAATATTTCACCTTGTGACCTGACCTAAAAATATAAATGTACCTATATAAAAGCATATAGACGGCAAACGAAAACTGAATGGTAAAAACGCCATTAGGTACTGAAAAAGGTTGCCGTTGAGTTACTCTTTGGGATCAGACCCCTAAAAAGAAAATCTCTGAACAATTTACTCCATTTAATGATGGGTAAGTTAATGGCGATCTGAAGTGATGCGACGGAAACTTATTTGAACTGTCAAATGGAAAATTGCGTCTTGACGTTGTAATTGTCTTTAGTATTTTGAAAGAATGTTGTATGTACATCATTTATGTATACAAAAAATTAATTTAACCCTTTGAGTGCACCGATATAAGACACAATAGAAAAAACATGGTGTCTCGCATGGTTCAGACACGCCAAAGTCTAATCGTACAAAATATTCATATTTAATTGTAGGTTATGAAGTACGTCCATAATTGGGTAGTTTCATAACACATAACATCACGCGTTTTATCTCCAAAGGGGCAGGCAGAGGTGTACATTATGCCACTGTACAATGTAACACCCAGTTTTTACTATTTATGTTATGAGTCCCATGTAATAGGGGGTGAGCCTATTGCGATATACCGGGCACATTTCCAGTAGTTTGGTAGTTTCCTGGGTCAAAAACAAATTATTTTGATTCTCAGTTCAATTAAATATTGAAGAATAGTTCCACTTCCATTCGTTGAATTGCCGATATAGAAGTATGTTGTTTGACACGAAAATAAGATGATGTCATAAGATGGTATTTCGTACAAAATTCATATCTACATATAGAACAGTATCATTTTTGACGTTTCGATAAAAGTATCGAATTTGACTAGTTGTCAACTACCGCATTGTTTGTTGCTTATTTCGGTGTCAATAATGCATGAAATAAAGAACTTTGGAACCTAAAGAAATATAGTATAGCACTACCCCCATGACAATCTATGGAGAACTAACTCAAAAATTACCGAAATAGATAAGTAATACATGCTATAACTTGTGCACGGTAAATAAGATATTTTTTTATTGAATTTAAATAGTTGCGGTCCCAATATTAGTTACATATCCAGTGAAAGAAAATAATTCAACGTGACATTCTAGGTATTTCATGTTACACCACACAAATTTCGTTTAGTCCAATTATACATACACTCATGAAGCTTTGGAAATATATAAGTAGGTACGTACGCTCTCGAATTTTTGCTTTCACGAATAGGTACCTATTGAACAAAATTTTATTTTTATCTGCTTCATTTACGTTGACAGCACGCCTACTGATTTCTAAGAGCTAGGTTCAATGTTCGTACAAAGGAAAATATAATTCTTCTATCTGTATAAATCCCTAAAATTTCCATTCAATGATATACAATTATACATGAGGATAATATACCACCTATTTAAGTATGAGGTACACAAACGAATATACGCTTCATTTGTGATAATTCGAGGAATATTATTATGTCCTATTTATATATTTATCAAATGTGTATAAGAAACCTGACAATATGTAAGTATATCGATTCAAAGACAGCCCTAAGTAAATAAATATTATCCAGAGCTTATAGTAATAAGCACAGGGCTTCAGATACTGTTTTATAATGGCAGTTTTTGGTACCTGAACATATATATGCATACATACTTGCCTATGTAAAACAATATCAAAGAATATACACAAGTAACAGGCTATGTAGTATCCTTGTGAGTTAGTATATGAACCCATTCATCATCATTCATTATGATGAGTTGAAGAACATAATGATTATGTAATGGTTTACTTATTTTCTTGGTCCTCGTCTTTTCATCACAGACAGAAAAATATAGATAGATTCATAATGTTAACTTTGATACGTCGTGTTAGCCCAGAGGATTAAGACGTGGAGTTCTCATGCGTGAGAGTTCGTGTTCGAAAGCTACCGACCGCAAGCAGTAATATGACTTTTTGCAAATTATATGTAGGTATATAATTTTCTATGATTATTGAGACATCATTGACAAATGGTAAAGATAAACATCGTGAGGAAAGCTGGGCTTATAATTTCTAATTAGGTATAGGTTTGAAATTTCTATTCAAATTGAGCAAGCGTGTTGAATTAATGCTAAAACCATCCCCGTGCAAGATTTGATCAGCAATGGCCACTTATAGGCTGTTGATTATAATGATGATGTTAACTATGATAAAGTCCTTTTAAGAGGATTTTTAATTATTTTGGACCATTCGTTACGCCTTTCTGTATATTATATCTAATAATTATATCTAGGTATATTATAAGGCAAGAAATATTCACATAAATAAAATTCACACTTGAATGTACCTATATAATATACCTCTAAAAAAACATACAGGTGCAGGGTTCTCTTTCATAAATGTTTCCATTTCTCATCTAGAATCCTATCCAATTTGGTCTAAACGTATTGGTACACAAACAAGAACGGTAAAAAATATTTTCCTAGTACCTACTCGGAACCGTATACCGTAAAAGAGTATTTATTTACTCAATAACCGCATACCTGTTTCGAGTAGTTTTGAAATGTTCCCCACTAGAATTCGTACAAAACTAGTATTGTCTCGGTTAGGTAAATTTGTTAGTAAAACTTGGAAACTTGGCCTCGCCGAATTTCGGTCTCGTACCACGATAATTGGGTTCGGCAACAATTTTGCGATGGCGGTTAGAGTCCGTAGATGTAGGAATGTGAGAAGCCCATATTTGAAAGTTTATTGTTAATTTTGGGACGGTCATTGGTATGTTTGTGTGTGGTAGATAATGCGTGCCGAACCTTGATTGGTATGAAGGAAGTTTGAAACTTCAAACTTGTGCATTTTTTGGAAATTGTTTGAACCTAAACGCGGTTTTACATTTTTTTTCTATCTGTGGGATAGGTTAAGATAAAGTCATAGTTTTTCTAGAATCACACTCAAGACTATACCTTAGGTAACTTAATCTAAAACAACAGTCAGTTCCAAAACAAATATACCATTCCTCAATTCTGACTTTGCCAAAATTGATGGATACAATTTTAACGAAACACCATTTTACTAAAACAAATTACATAAGCAGTTACCTGTGCCGAGGGCGGAGCGGGACCAGGCAGTATGCTATTAAGTTTTGTGAACACATGAATAATTAAGCAAAGTTGGTTAATGGTTTGGAACACGTAAATTGTAGAAAACTAAACTACTCGCACGTGGATTATGACGCACTAAAGGTTAAACTATACAAACAATATTTTGAAGTCGTTAGAAGTGATTTTGATCAACACATTGCGCTATTTTTGGGCAGTAAAGGCGTATATCAACCCTATCTATCGAAAAAATATTAAAAGACTGCTGATAAACTCGTTACGGCTAAACAAAATTAACTGAATTATAATTTTGTTATGTATAGAGGTAGGTATGACAAAAACTCAAGAAGCATGTATAAGTAAGGATCATACCAAGCGATAATCTGTAATGATTTGTTGAACTGAAAACTGAATAAATAATCGACAGAAATGATAATTCAAATAGTCTGATGACTGATCAAAGTAATGTCTTTGCTAACCCCATCTTCAGACAATCCTACAAAAGTACAAACGAAAAAAAAACACAGTTATGTAAAACATACTACACACAACACACCCAGACCCACCCATCAAACATGAAACGTTAATCTTACAAAACTAAACTCGCGGCTTCAATCTCTAACCATCAGACGACTTCAAAAGAATTAGACGCTCTGTTTGCCACGAAGGTTGAAAGATACAAAGTTGATGTTCCCCATGAACATGACACTGCTTTTGTTCAGCATGACAACGGTTGGACATGTGCGGGCATACCAGGAAATAACGGATATGAAGGCTTTAATACTCTTACATTTTTGATCTAGAGTAAAGTATTCAAAGGCCTTTTGAATATTTTTGAAGGGATAAAGATTTGTTTTGATTTGTATAAGCTTCTCAGAATGTTGGTGATGTGTGGATTTCTGATTTGTTAAGTTGGTTTTGTGTTGTATGGAGATATTGTTGATATTTACCTACATATAAAGAAAATTCTACTAGAATACTTTTTTTAACTCAATACCCTGTACAATACCAAAAAAGAGGACCCAATTTATTAAATGGTTTGTGTGCTAGAGGTATCTATATACCTCTATGGGACTTCATTAGAAAAAATATCTATATAGACTAATATAGACTTAATTATGTTCGTAATTTTACCCTGTAGTTTCAAAAACGACGCTATTGTCAAAAATATAACAAATGTTTTATATGTATTGATAATAGTTTCAAATATTTATTAAAACTGTAATCAATGGGCTTTAGATAACCCGTACCGAAAAATGTTTGAAACGAATTTCTAACTAGGAACTAGACTTACCATATTCCGGACATATGATGCAAAAACCCACAGCCAGGAAAAACCCGATCACTTCGCCACAGAATCCTTTGAAGGCCATTTTTACCCTTTTTGTTTAACCAACGCTCGCTTTTACCGACATCTTCACTCTTTCTATTTTTCACAATTTCTCACTAAAACCCCCTCAGCACACTCATCGTTCTTTGTATAACGTCCGACTTTTTAATCGACATCGTTCTTCTGAGGAGAATTTGTCTTCCGACGTTTCGGCTGCGAAGCGTTGCGGTTACATCTGGAAAAGACGAGGTTTAATTTTAAAATTTTATTCAAAGAAACTGCAAAATTTTTCAAAGGTTGCAAGGATGTATATTTTTTCTTAGAATTTAGTATAAGGGATTTCATGATACTATAAATATATAGATATTTTTTTAAGTATCCGTTAAAGTCATACTTAAGGACTATACACAATAAATTGTTTATTGAGTTTCTATAATTCCTTAAAGATAAGATATTTAGTTAAATAAGAGCCAGATACGTAGTCAAGTAATTTTGTTACAACATTTTTTTATAACATTACATAACATTAGGCCTCTTATACCCGAAGGAGTAGGCAGATGTGCATATTACGGCACTTAATGCCACTGCAATGTAACACTCGCTTATAACTATTTATGTTATGAGTCCCATTTAATAGGGGGTGAGTCTATTGCCATATCCAGACTCCGTGCTACTAATGTTTTTTTCTTAAAAAACCAGTAATACTTTGCAAGGCCCGGGAATCGAACCCAAGACCCCTTGCCCGGCAATCGCACTTAACGACCAAATGAGGCAGTCGTTAATAATTCCTACAAAAAATAGATATTTTTTATGGAGTGTCTGTAATTCTATTCCGATAGATAATTGGTTACATATGCGTCAGATACATAGTGAAATAACTTCCTGTTACAACACTTATCTATTCAGATTAAACTAATTAAAAATTAAAAACCGAGCTTCTTATACTCCCATCCCACTAGAATATAATATCTAACAGTTATGAAACTACAAACTCTCACATAAAATTTGTTGGAAGCTAATTACGTTACAAAACAGCTACCTATTTGCTGGAGAATGTGTAGGACTTCATAAGCAAGCAAGGGTTCACCAAGTTATTTTAATAACAGTTTCTATATACTTGCTTTTAAACTCATATGTTCCGAGGTTTATTATATCTTATAATGTTTTTATAATAACTATCGTGAGACATACTAAATTAACTAAAAATCGCGGGTTATTGAACAGTATATTCACGTGAGTAACCCGCAATTTTTAGTTAATATATCTCATAATGTTTCCTAACCCTAAAAGTAGATTCGGAGTCGCGGAGAACCTAACGGGTTACCAGGGCTCCGGCTCGACGTGCAGGAGAAGGAACGGGATGGTTTTTAGTCAGTAAGAGTCTGACACTCCCTCCCGCCTCACCCAGGCGGGAGTAGTCATTCGATGATTTTCCCCCCTTAAAAATACCCTAAAAGTACATAAGTACTTTAAAACAATTGTTGTAGTGAGTATACGTATAAGTAGTTAGACATTGATTCTTTTTTTGATGTTGAATAGAAATGAAATAAAAATTTATTTAAAAAAAATAGGTTTACATTTAGAATATCTTTATGTCTCATGAAGAATCACATACTAATTCACTTACTGAGAAACAATATTGAACACAAAAGTAAGCAATTTAGAGCGCACAGTGGTACGTACATGTTACACAGTCCATGGATTCCGCAGATTGGCAAATTATTTGAAACACATTAATATTGCATCAGTCGTGCAGCGATGGCGAAATTGCTGCATCGGCCCATCGTGCCCTACAACGTGACGGACCGGACGAAGGCATCATTTTCTAGAATACACGACTCTTTTGTTTCCAACTAAGACCAATAGTCACTTAAACTGTCAAACACCAAGCGGTCACCGGTGACCACAACATATTGTTCTATAATTGTGTCTATAATGACGGTACTCGACGAGATAATTTAGTAATAATACTTTCCTGTAATTTTATTGCCTGCCGGAAAGACAAAATTTATATATAAACAAATAAAAACAGTACAAAAAAAACGTGTAAGTGTGGCTAATATAAAAGAACAAATATAAACATTCACACAAAGAACAGAATCAAGTAACACGGGCAGACCAATAAACTATAGCAAAAATATGAATTAAATGTGGGTAAACCAATAAATTAATCAATCACTTGACCTTGCAATGTTACAATGCAGAAACATAAATACATGAACTACGTTTTCTAGATGTGGCATTGATGGCATAGTTTATACTTGTATAATTATTATATTTTATTATTGTACATGTACACGGTATTCAATTTAAATTATTTAGAATTTAAAATAAATAATAATGGTTCAGGACAGGTAGGAAAAATATTTCAATTGAACTATATTTAAATTAATACTTGTTGGCGATATTGAGAGAATTAAAAAATAAACAGACTAAAATCTGAATTTTGTCACTTCAAAGTAGTATGAATATATATTTTCTTGTGAAAAATATGCACTAGCTCAGGTTAAAGAATTTTAGTAAAGTTTTTTAGTGTAAAACCAAAGATACGTCGGCGTCATACATAGTAACATCAAATCCCAATACAGGGTTATTCATCATAAAAAATATTTATGAGTGGGTTTTCATGACGCAGTTTTGGGTCAATAGAAAAAGGCCAACTGACATTGTTGTTCCGCCATTTTGTGTACAGACTAGTTTTACTGTACACATCAAATATCAATAAAGTTATATAGCAACATTTTGAAAGCCATACGAAAAAATAGCTGAATAGAAATTATATGTGGAACATATACGAAATGAAAGTAACTTTGAGAGTCTTCAGCCTTTAAATAACTCACCTAAATCTTACAAAAATAACCTAACAGATAAATAACGTAATATAAATTCTTAAAAAGGTAAAAAAAATATCAACACCCACTCATCGATTCTTAAGCACAATACACCCACAATTCGAAAACGTAAACAAACAAATAAAAAAATAAATAAAAACAAATTACGATTTCCAACATTCAATAAACTCGTTTACCGGGCCGTGTTATACAAACGGTTTTTCACACAATACACGAAGCATAATTATTTGTTGAACATGTTACAACTGGAAGTGACCTGAAAAGGACGACGTGTATTGTTGGAAGGCGTCCGAGGCAGAAATTGTATTGTGTCCCAGCTCTTTATGTACCACAGCAATGGGACTGTGCTACCTATGTCTGTTCTTTGTCGCTGTCACCTATAAAAGGTTTCTTACGTTCCGTTTGTACTGTTTTAGTTGTTGCTAATGAAGTGGAAACGTACTGGAATGGGCACTTGTGAGAGTGCACCTGTGTTTCAAGGGTTAACGAACTGAATGATTTTGTTTTCCTTCCATTTTCTAAATAAATATGCTTTCAAGTAGAAATACATGTCTGTCTGTATGCTAGGAGGAATTTCTTTTGGAGTTTGAATTAGTAAGTTAAGCATGCATTAAACTAAGGCAGTGTTTTCTAAAAAACAAGTTCGCAATTTATCTAATCCTAATGAAGTAATAAAAATAATTCTGGAAAAAGGAAATAAAAGGGAGCTTGTGATTACTCAAAGAGACAGCCAAATCCTATCATTTCTTCGGCCTACAATCTTTTTTCCAATTTGTCTTAATGTTAATGCTGACGAAACAAGATTCCCTTCACTTCGGGGCGTGCCTTACTTAATGCCAACTCTAATGTTGCCAAATATACAAAAATATCAAAGAAAATGGGTACTGCAAATTGAATTATGTTCACACATCGTAATCAAAGCCGAATGTATAATGTTCTTTGTGAAAAGTATGACAAACGTGACTTTAATATAAATAAGAACAAGATATTTAAAAAACCAAACAAAGTTTGTCGAAAGCCAATTAGGTATGGGTGCTGGAATAATTTGAAACAACAAAATATAATCGATACTAGATGTAGTTCAACGCCTACGAGTAAACGTAGGCGTATTATTTATATTGGTGATTGATTTGGATATGTTTTAAATAGGCCTATCATCAAATGTAGTCCTTGAACTGTGCTGGAAAAGTTGTATTAATAGTAGAAAAAAAGGTTTTTTTCCACAATGAACACTTGTAAATTGACAAACTTGTGCTACTATATGCGTGAATAATCGACACAGAACGTGTTATAATTATACAGAATAGATTAAATTCCGCCTATTATATTGACTTACACGTGCGTAAAAAAGTACCTAGATAATAATTTTCCTTATTACAATATAATGAAATTTTATCAACAATAAATACAATCGCCAACATCCTTCCATAGACGTATCCATTCTTCACTCGAGCCCTCATAAACGGGCTATAAAAATGAGTCTTGTATTGACAATAAAAACGATTTTATGTGATACTTCAAAACGTTTCCCAACAAATGTAATGTGATACATGTGATTATTTGATGAAGGTAAAACAGTAGATACTTTGATGGCTTCGTACAAACAGAATAAAGTATTGACAAATGAAAAAGAATTTATAAAGAGATTGGAAATAATACACGTTAAAGCTGTTTCATTTCGTGAACAATATAATTTAAAAACGATACAAAAGAAACACTAGGGCAGAAAAACTTTATCCATTAGTTAAAAACAATCATGTTGAAATAACAAAGCAAAACAGAAACAACATATTTTAAAGAAAGTAACTACAGGAACAAAACAAAAATGTTCCTCATGCAAAGGAAATTTTGAAATAATAATTTTGATTTATTACTTGAAAGAACATTGCATGCCAAGAGTAAGAAATGGTGCATAAGCACTGACTCGGCTTGTAGAAGCCAAGATGCGAACAACACTAAGAATGCATGAGAACGGACAAAGTAGAAAAGTTAGCGTCATAAAGCAAATCCTTGCACCGGAATAATTCTCAAAAGTTGTTTGTGACGTGGCACGTTGGAGTTTATTCCCAACGGTTAAACCAGGACAATTTAGAGAACATTAAAACTAGTAAGGCCTGCAGGAGCTTTTAGCGTTATCAACACTATTGTAGGTAATGACGCTCGTTGGTTGGTCGGTGGTAAAGATATCAGAATTGATGAATTCGAACTAAATGGGATGGAATTATTGAAAATGAGGCCTAGATAAAGAAAAATCACTACGATATCAAGGGTGTCTTTCCTAACTATAAAAATTGAAGAAAGTGTTTGAAATTGCCATTCAGAATAATTGTAAAACTAGTTTTCGAAATCGTTTAATTTATTTACATTTTAGTTTACCAGTAGG